TACAGTTATCCGTAATGCGATGGCAACATGCTTGGTCGGTTAGTGAGTCTAAATACACAGGGCGATTGGTGCTGAGGACAACATTACATGCACCGGGGGTATACGCGCTGTACGCCGATACGACCGCCTGGATCGGAGACCGAGTGAAAAGCTCCTCATTTCTGAACCCTTGATTGTGTGAGAAGGAACAAATCTGGTTAGAAGACAAACGCAGAGAGAATGAAAAGCCAGAAAACGTTGACAACACTCACAAAGGCGCGATAAAAGACGTTACTAGGCGATTATTGATTAAGAACAGCTAGGTATGCACACAAACACACACACGGTAGATTCAAGTGGAATTCGGCTTTCAGCACACAGGGCAGAGAAACCGTTCTCGTATAGCGGGAAAGATAGAGATGCATGCGCGGAATGTGCTTGATGGCTGGAGAGTATTTCACTATTAGGTTACGATCAAGAATGCCTTCGACACAAGGTCGGACTCACAAGCAATCCAGCATACATATGGAAGCTATGGAGCAATGCTAATCTAGGATCTGCACGTTTGGTATTTGTAATCGTGAGAAAAAAACTTTTTCAGATAGAAGCAGTTTGGCCTACCATACAAATTGTATTAACCAGCTTTTAGCACCCAACATCCTCATTCCTAACCTGTTGAAGACAGTGAACTCGGAAACAGTGAGTGAAGAACAGTTAGCCCAACACCAACGACGTGTCAGAGTACCTAGAGTGAGACAGTTTGGGCTCTTATTCGATTACAGTTATCCGTAATGCGATGGCAACATCCTTGGTCGGTTAGTGAGTCTAAATCTACAGGGCGATTGGTGCTGCGGACAACATTACATGCACTGAGGGTATACGCGCCGATACGAGTGCCTGGATCAGAGACCGAGTGGAAGGCTCCTCAGTTCTCAACGCTTCATTGTGTGAGGTTAGAAAACAAACGCAGAGAGAATGAAAAGTCAGAAAACGTTGACAACACCCACAAAGGCGCGATAGAAGACGTTACTAGGCGATTATTGATTAAGAACAGCTAGGTATGCACACAAACACACACACGGTAGATTCAAGTGGAATTCGGCTTTCAGCACACAGGGCAGAGAAACCGTTCTCGTATAGCGGGAAAGATAGAGATGCATGCGCGGAATGTGCTTGATGGCTGGAGAGTATTTCACTATTAGGTTACGATCAAGAATGCCTTCGACACAAGGTCGGACTCACAAGCAATCCAGCATACATATGGAAGCTATGGAGCAATGCTAATCTAGGATCATAATTTATGGTTTGTCAGTTATAGCTACTCTCGAGTAACGGAGTTCTAGGAAGAAGCTGTCTTTGATCAATTCTTCGAAACATATGTGACGTGTGAGACCGTTCAGGAGAAGAGACTATTCCTGGCCGACATTCTTAGATAACCTCTCCAGAGTGGGACAGCTTTATTCTGCCAGTTTCTTGCACTTACCTCAATCTCCTATATGGATTCAAATTTCGCTTATTGACAGTACCGGGTCTTGAACAGCTAACGTTCGATATGCACGTTGATTCGACCCAACCACGGACGTCACATGTAACTCAACACATAACAGACCGACTTGAACATACTGAAGCTTTGATTACATAAGGAGTCAGGCATGCGCGGAATGTGCTTGATGGCTGGAGACCATTCCAATATTAGGTTAAGATCAAGACTGCCTTCCACAAAAGGTCGGACTCACAAGCAATACAGCATACATATGGAAGTTATGAAGCAATGCTAATCTAGGATCATACTTTGATCATAATTTATGGTTTGTCAGTATGGCTACACTCGAGTAAGGGAGTTCTTGGAAGATGCCGTCTTTAGTGAATTCTTCGAAGCATGTGAGACGTGTGAGACTACTCTTTCGGAAGAGATCATTTAAGAGAAGTGACTATTCCTGACCGACATTTTCAGATGACGTCTCCAGAGCGAGACAGCTATATTCTGCCAGCTATTTGCACATACCTCAGTCTCCTACAGGGCGAGACGGCCCAAGTGGTTAGAGCGCGAATTTATCAACCGGGACGTCCGTGGTTCGAACCCGACCTCTGCCTCTCGACTTCCCCTCTCTAGGCTTGGGCAAACTGGTAGTATCCCAGCCCACGTGCAACCTTCGAGTGGCATGGCAGTTAGGCACCGGAAAGGTGCTACAGCTGAACGTCTTTTTACATGGATTCAAATTTCGCTTAAATTTGACCGTACCGGGCAGTGAACAGCTGACATTCGACAAGCACGTTGACTCGACCCAATCGACACACGCCTGATATGTTTTGTCATGGACGTCAACACATAACAGACTGACTTGGACATAACGAAGCTTTGATTATATAAATAGGAGTCAGGGAAGGAGTCACGAGGGTTGGAATACTGCCAGGTTGCCCAAGCCTAGACAGGGGAAGTCGAGAGGCAGATGTCGGGTTCGAACCACGGACCATCCGGTCAGTAAATTCGCGCTCTAACCACTTGGTCCATCTGGGCCCCTGCTTTGATTATATTGGTTTGGTCTACTCGATGACACATTATATCTGTTTTGGGATAGGTAATATGCCACCGACACTAATTTTGTGTGGGAACGAGGATGAAAGATCTTATCGTTCGAGACTTCGGTGAGCTAGATGTGTGGCGAATCCGTGAGCTACATCTGTCGTATGTGTCGAGTATTGTGCGTAAAACCCTGGCCTGGAGGAGGTACCCTAAGGTTNCTACCAGGATGGGTACCATGTGAAGTGAAGCATCGATGTTGAACACTGATGTCATGCTGTCGATGATGATGATGATGATGATGACCATGTGATCCCCACTGCGTCTGGTTGGGGACACTGCAGGATATGGATGCCAACCGATGTCAGTAGTGTTCTTGTCAGTTTCTTTCCAAATTGCCTGAATGAGTGTCTGGAGGTGTAGGCACCTCGGAATGATTGTGTTAAGCTAGCACTAAGTCCGTCCCCCATCCACCTTTATACTTTTCTTTACAATAAGGCTTTCAAATAAGTCATGGTTGTACGGCAATGAAGCCTCGGTGTTGAATACTGATGTCATGCTGTCGATGATGACTCCAGGGTGAACTCCGGAAGAGAGAAGACACGCGTTGATGACAGAACTGGAAGCCCAGATCTCCGACCAAGTGTCCATTAGCTGTGAGAAGGGCATGTAATGAGCACCCTAGTGCGGCCTGCGTCCCTTTGAATAATGATCCATTCGATGCAACCGTTGTACATCATGCGGTGTTCAGGTACACATAACGATGTAGCACAGTATCCACGGTAGTTCAACTGGAATACCCAAAAGCGGGAGACCATGACATGGTACTAACCCCGATGTTCATGTTCTCGACAGCACTATGCTGTCCGGTTTCACATTTATAAATCTCCTAGATGAAAAAAAACCCCACAAATGTCATAAAAGAACTCACCGTCGCACGGAGTAACCGCAAAGGCTGCAATCATGCCAGCCGTAAAGCCAGAACCGAAGGACCAGTAGAACACCGCCTCCACGCTACCGGGAGCTCGTCTTGGGCCCTAGAAGGAAAGAGACAATTATTCACCTTCAGCACCACTGCCATCTGCGAATGAGTGTATTTCACAATTGTTTAACTTTGGCGCTTGAATAAAGATCATTACAAAAATTAGGTGACGAAGAAGTAAGGACAACCACAGCACTGCAAGGCTCCAAAACCATTCTTTGGCGTCAGCATCCTCTTTTGTGGATTATCAAGGGACAGTCACATGTGAATACAGCTCACGCGACTGATGTTGAGGCGAAAAAAAACGATTGACATCCGATCTACCACTCTGCCGGAACTGGTCAATTTGGACGGCCGGGCATCAGACAAACACCCTGATTGAGAGCCTCGAACACCGGTGCTCTATCGTAACACAACCACGTTAGGGAGTTACATTCAGCATCGATTCTGTCTAAACAGTGGCGCAACAATTCTGGTGAAAGAAAGAAAGCGCTCAGCTTCAGCACTCTTCTGGTGCCTAGTTGCCATGCCACCCGAAGGAAACACGAGGGCTGGGATACTGCCAGGTTGCCCAAGCCTAGACAGGGGAATTCGAGAGGCGGAGGTCGGATTCGAACCACGGACCCTCCAGTCAATAAATTCGCGCTCTAACCACTTGGGTTATCTCACCCACACAAAAGAAATGGTCGTAAGAGTTAAGTCTCGCCACTAGTGCATACAATCGGCGGTGCCGAGATGTGAACACCCAGAATCCCATATGGGACAAAAGCCTGCAATTACCAAGTATCCCGCCATTGCATGCTGAACGCGCCTAATCACCATGTTTCAACGGACTAACACGTTCACGCTTGAGTAGCCCGAAGTCTCGGACAACAACTCAGTAGGTGATTTGGTTGTGTCAATCGATTAACCAGCTTGTCAGTGTCACAGTCCGTTAGTCAATTCCGTTCAATTACTCAACAGTTGGAATTTGGTTCCACATCATGCGCACTTGAGCAGACTACGTTCTGCGCTAGTACGATTTTTTGTATAGTCCACATCAGGGGAGAAATCACACGACTTGGGTTCCGCTTTATTTATTGTTGTAAAAGAAAGACCCGATCGAAAATAACGGGAAGGGAGACGTTTGGCGATCAGTACGGTTCCGAGGCAAAAACATGTGCACTGAGTAACCTCTGAGTTTAGAGACATCTATACATCGAAACAGTTATTTGATTCGGCTCACCAAAGGCACCCCTAAGACACCAACCATTCACAAATAGTTTACAAGGTTGACAGGACGATAGATGAAACTTTGTTGATTAAAACTCGTAAATAACTGGCGTTCGAAAGAGTCCTCGAGGGATTTTACGTTGGTCATGGCGGATGCTTCCAGGTATTTTTTGACGACACAGGGATGGCTGATACTTGCTGATTCCAATCGCAACCGCCATTACGAGTGCGCTTTTGGACAATTCGGCCGGCTTGATTTGGTGGTTCGCACATGCACTGATCACGTGCTTAGCTTCTCCAGAAAGGTAAACTGTAGGCTATTCTCTGGAATAGTACCGGAGTCTTGCGACCCCTATGCTTCGCGGAGTACTCGCAAACAAAGAAAGAGATAAGCGGTGAAGAGTCATGGAGTGGAAGTCTTTCCTTCAAGTTTGTACTGAGTAGAGTGGAGGACTAATAGTCAAGCGGCCATTGATTTCACTGTATTAAACGTTCTCTGAAGAGAAGGTTGTTGGGCAGCGTTTGACCGTTTCGAAAACCCTATCGTTTATAAACAGCACTTCAGGTAAATAGGTTTCTTGATGATCGAAATGCTGTTTCTGAGCGCTCCTTCATGAGGTCCCAGGTTTGAGCGTACAAACATCAGTAGAAGTCATTTCTCCTCGAAAGCTCTTATAATTCACCTTAGTTCTGAATCAAGGGCACTATCAGTTTAAATCTTGCAAGTCCTGTTCGATAGACATCCAACAAAGTATCGCTCCCACTTCATATGGACGAGGTGATGGGAATACGAGTTTTGACCAGATCAATTTTCTTACAGTATGACCCTCCCAAAAGGGTTCAGCCACATCTTCTAGGTAAAGCGACGTCAAGAAAGTGGAATCAGCTATTGGACTCACCCTCCACGATGAAGCTGGACACAGAACGTACCGAGGATTTCATCAACCAAGTTAAAAGATTCAAACAACATCAACATGCCGATCGCTTGGCTCAAAACGAACTAATACTCACTCTGTTTCAATAATAGGAAAAGTCAGCTAAAGGGTGGCCACTAACTACATCGTTTTATCGGCATCCGGTGTCATTGAATAAAAGCTGGGAATTGAATGGCACCCTAAAGGTAAGCTTTTCAGATCGTCTATGCGGGTGCGCAAAATAGTCCAAATAAATGAAGTCACATGTCACAAATACGATGGGTCGCTGGAAAATGATGCAAGGCCTATGGAACACATCAGTTCAGTGTGTCCGGAGGCCAGCCGTCCCTAATAACCGAACATCACACCATTTGCAAGGATGTGTCACGTGCAGGATACGATCAAACGATGGCGTGCTCTGATTGGTCAGAATGCCAGCCAATCCGGATAGAGCATCTCTGAACCGAAGCTTCTCGCCCCCTCACGGAGATTCTAGCACGACCTTGTGGGACACTGTGACTACGGTATAAATACAGCTGTAATAAATTTCCTTTGTCTCCATAAAGGGCTATGTAGAGCTACCGTGCCTTTTGATATACTGTGGTGGGCGGAGCAGGAAGCCAAGGGACCGGTACAGAGTTGCACTACCGTTCGGCAAGACACAACACAGTGCGCCCTCGACGGCTGAAGCCTGGAAATTCGAGGAATCACTATCATGGCTATTGTTCCGGCAATGACGTTCAACCGCTCACATTAGTCCGAAACTAGGGTGACGGTTGGTGTTCGGTCCAAGATCACGAGGATGGATTTCCGTTTGTGTGATAGACTGTTCGAGGACAAGTGATTTTCGGCCTTTCGCCCGTCCTGTAACCACAATGCAGCGTGGAACTCGTCTTGTGCGAATAAAATGACATCTCACATGATGCGGTCGACGATGTGATACCAATAGAGTTGTCACATGACATATGAGGCTTGTAATAGATGAAATGCATTCTGATCAACGGGCCAAACTCTGCTCTGATTCGAGGCGATACTATCTGCCAAAAAGTGGATGTATATGCTATAATACATATGAAGATGAGCCTGGTGAAACTTAAAGTTGAGCGGAGATCGCGGTTACGCTCAAGCAATTATCGCTACTGTACTGCTATCGGTGAAAATACCACACGAACTTACCACATTCTTTAACGCACAGGTATATTCTACCTTCAAGAGAGGCTACTATTGGATCCTACCAAAGAAACACCTCTGGCCTCGGATCTGTAGTGACTTGATGAACGATCGTGCAACTCTGTATCGGCCCTTGGCTTCCTGCTCCGCCCACTATGGTATATCAAAAGGCACAGTAGCTCTACGCAGCCCTTTATGGAGACCAAGGAAAATTATTACAATTGCATTTATAGGGTAGCCACAGAGTGTTCCACAAGGTCGTGCTAGAATCTCCGTGAGGGGGGCGAGAAGCGTTGAGTCATGGATGCCCGATCCGGATTGGCTGGCATTCTGACCAATCAGGGTATGCCTTCGTTTGGTCCGCGTGCTGCACGTGACATATCCTTCTAAATGATGTGATGTTCGGTTAGTAGGTACGGCTGGCCTCCGGACAGGATCAGAGATCAACTTCTCTCACCAGCAACGGCTACCTTGGATGACCGGGAACGTTTGCATTTTTCTGAATGCAGCCTGTCTCATATACATTTCTGGGAAGTTGCAATTGAGATTCGTCCCCTAGGTGAAACCCATTTACGCTCAAAAGCTGAGATGCGCGATACGGCTGTTTCATCCTCACTGGCACTCATCGGCAGACTGCATCTCGCGAAACTCCGGGGAGTCTCGAATCAAAAGCGATAACTGGGTTCGAAAGACTACCATACCATTAAGTAAGCAGAAGTGCACAGCAAACCTCAATTGTTGACGTCGGTAGTGTCAACCTGTGCACAGGGCTCTTAGTGACCGAGGTAGTTCAAGGTCGAAATCCGCAAGCCAGACGATGGTCAGTTGAATAGTGTGACTGGTTTGTGATTGACCCTTGCGTGACCATTTGCTTGATTCTGATTGGCGATGCCAAAAACATGGGCGTCAAGGCAAGACAAGACAGAGTAGGCCGAGCAGGTGAAGCACGCATGCGGACGGCTACACATTAGCAGTAACAAACGCGCGCACACACACACATGGCTACCAGTGTAGCGGTGATACTACTGATGGACGTGGCATGCGAGTGGTATGTTTCCTCGTAAATCCGCTTTGCGTCTCTTGAAAAGTGGGATCTATTACGGAATTTGTGAAGTCGCTTTGTAGCGTTTGCTCACATTTGAACAACAGTCAGTGAATATCCAGAAAAGTTCAGGAAGGCGCGTTCAAGCAGAAGATGGATATTCAGTTTCTGTAAACAAGATGCATATGAGAGTTTCGCTTCCCTGTCCACTAGTCTGTAACTGTTCAGTTGGCATTTTCTAATAACTCCGCAGCGAAGGCCTTCTTCCGTTCATCAGTAGTGCGTGCAACGGCCAGTGGCAAAGCGAATGGCGGGTACGAAGGACTCGACGGGGTATAACAGGTGGAGATCAATAAGCACATGGACAGAGTAGGCAAACCAATGCGGAGATTATCGGGCTGTCAAGTTATGTTCAGTGTTGAGACAGTCGGAAAATCAAGATATTGGAAGAAATAGTTGGACCACCTTATCCTCACAAAGATCTCTTCAGGTTTCTCGAATTCAATTGTTATCGCTTGTCTATCCGGAGAGATCAGCCTTTGGTGAAGATCAGTCCTGGTCGGGCTTCTGAACTGGTCTCTCTGCAGAGGAATAACTATACTGTCGATTGCTCTCAATTACTCTCAACGGAGGTGCAGCGAAAAATGAACCCAACTCACGCCCCGTATTGGTCTGGGATTGTCCCTGGGAATTCCATTAAAAATTTGGAAAGTGTCATCGTATAGCTGTGGTACCCTTTCGGTGCCCAAAGGAAGCACGAGGGCCGGAATACATCCAGGTTGCCCAATCCTACACAGAGCAAGTCGAGGGGCAGAGGTCGGACTCGAACCAAGGACATTCCGGTCAGAAAATTCGCGCTCTAAACACTGAGCCATTCTGTCAGCTATGAACGAGCAACCCTGATGCTGTCTGCAAAGAAACGAATCAAATTTGATTCGTCGAGCCATGTATTCTGAAAGAAACAGAGAGCTGACTTCGTCCTGTAAGTGAAGCCAATCTATGCTGAAAAGCCGAGAAGCACTGTACAGCTGTTTCATCCTTGTTGAAAATCATCAGCAGTGCGCATCTCACGAAACTCCGAAGAGTCTCGAACCTGCGACCTCCCGGCTAGTAGTTTGAACACTTATCCGTTCGGCCACGAGTGGCTGATCAGCAGTATGATTAACTCGCACTTAGACAGGATATAGCGCCGCTCATCCTTCAATCACGGGATCCACATCACACGGTCACACGTGTTGACTGGCTCCTCGGCAACGACTTCTCAGATAGAAGTTTCACTCATCGGGTGAAGTTTATTCTTCCACCTACTTACTTATAGATAGCTACCACCAAGAGAGCTGACTGTTGAAACTGAACGGTAGTGCAACTCTGTATCGGTTCCTTGGCTTCCTGCTCCGCCCACTATGGTGTATCAAAAGCACGGTAGCTCCAGACAGCCCTTTATGGGAACAAAAGGAGAATCATTACATCTGTATTTATAGGGTAGTCAAGGTGTGTTCCACAAGGTCGTGCTAGAATCACCGTGAGGGGGCGAGAAGCGTCGAATCAAAGATGCTCCATCCGGATTGGCTGGCATTCTGACCAATCAGAGCATGCCTTCGTTTGGTCCGTGTCCTGCACGTGACACATCCGTCCAAACGATGTGATGTTCGATTATTAGGAACGGCTGACCTCCGAACACTGACAGACCGCCAGGTCGCATAAGCCAAGATGAATCGAAAAATCGAACCATTAGCCTTTCGCTTGCACCTCAACTAATGAGACAGCTCGAACTCCATGGTCGTTGAATCGCCCGTAGATGTTGACTATTACGGGCTTAGAAGGAAAATTGGGCCTTGGTTTGTTCAATGGACGATGTATGCTGACACAAACTTCGGATAAGTGGGTGAAGAATGCCCCCCCAAAGTAATCTTCCCCAGTGGAAGTTGTGAACAGGGTACCTCTCCCTCTCAACAAGGACCGTTCGTGAGAGCATGGTCACAGTGTATCCAGTGTGAGCTGCAGGGAAATATCGAAGTTTTAGTCCCGGTCCAATAGGATGAAGCTTCGGTCTGATGATGCCTTACATATCGTGTAAATATGTCAGAGTTGTCAACCCAAGAAATCAAAAACTCACCAGGCAAAAGTGACCTGAAGAAAACCGGATGGTCAAAGGAGGTCATAGAAAGAGGAAAGGTCTGGCATAAGCGAAACATTGGCATACTTACCAACGCGTTGAAATTGGCAAACAAGGGGAAATAAATCATGGAGAAGGAGACGTCACGAAGGAATGTGGCGGCCATACCCCGGTAAAGACCGAAAATTCCTCGCTCACGAACCAGTTGGAGGGCAAGTTGGGTGGCTGATGTGCGGCGCACGGAAACTAGTCCATTCGCCTCCAGACCTGTGATACAAAAGCAAAAAGAGGTAAAATGTGATTACGGTTGAACCGATGACTGCTGAGTGTCCACCAGGAGGGGCTCTGTTGTACAGCTAACGGCTTATCCCAATCAAAAAAAAACTTTTATGAAAAACTGGACTTACTTCTTTTAGTCTTGAACGCAAAAGGCATAAACGACTGAGTGTTGACTTACCATTGAAAGGAAGAAGGCCTTCGCTGCGGAGTTATTTATTAGGAAATGCCAACTGAACAGTTACAGGCTATTGGACAGGGAAGTAAAACTCTCAGTTGCATCTTATTTACAAAAACTGAATATCCATCTTCTCCTGAACTTTTCTGGATATTCATTAACTGTTGTTCAAACCCAAGCACACGCTACACAGCGACTCCACAAATTCCGCAATAGATCTCCCTTTTCAAGCGACGCAAAGCGAATTTACAAGAAAAAAACATACTACTCGCATGCCTCCCCCATCAGTAGCAACACCGTTACACCATAAATGTGAAACGGACATTCCCAGATGACCCAACAACAAGGTCGGATATGCAATATGGAACAAGTTGCTACGTTGCCGGAAAAAACTCGACATGTAACGAGAAAAGATTTTGGACGAGTCTGTCCTTCTTAATCCGCGAAGTTAAGGAGGTAAGTGTTCCCTGAAAATCTACAGTAAGCAGATACCATGATAGATCGATCCATCGGAACTCCGTATAGGGCCTGTTGCACAACCACGTGAAGGGTGGGAGAGAGCCAGAGGCGGTCAAACAATGACTTGGCAGCGAAATGTGAAGGCCATTACCGGCAAAATCATCTGCGCTGATCATTGCCGTCTTCCTGGATGGGGACCCCGAGACGATCCACGTTGTCAGACATGGCCCAGTCGCGCCCTCAATGGCGCTCATGCATCCAAGCTATTGCCTTCAATGCATAGCTCCCTTCCCAATTCCCCCACTTGACAGCCCACTAACAATGCTGGATTTATGCACCAATTTATCAGCTCCCGTCTCCAATGCCTGTTGGCAGTTTGCTACCCATTTGCGAATGAAAGTTCACGTCAGGTCATCACAGTGATAATCAAAAAGTACATGTGATGATACAGCTTCAGTTCGATTGCCCGGTTCACCGCTGATTATTGGTGAAATCAGCCCCAAATGCATCAGACCAAAAAAGCCGGAACTGCACTTTTATCCTGAAAACATTTGCAATTCGTGCTGACTATCGTTCATTAAAACCCACGGAAAGGATGGAAATAAACAGGGAGTAACGAGGCAGTGAACTATGTACTTGTAAATACGGTCCAACGGTTCACTATGCACCGCGTCAACACGGATAACTGCGTGAAACTTAAAAAAAAATAGTTCAGGTGAACTCATCATCATCATCACCAAAGACAGCAACATCAGTGTTGGCACTGATGCTTCACTGCCGCACAACCATAAGGTTCGTCTA